TTGACGAAGATGAAAAGGAACACACACACTGGGTTTTTAGGGTTTAGAGAGCAAAAAGATTTGAAAGATTAAAAGTGTAAGAAGGTCGTAGCATAAGTGTGTGATGTGAAGTGAGTGAGTATAAATGGAAGATTTTGAAATGATTAAAATAACTAGAGAAGAGCAAAAGTTTGACACGGAGTAAGTTGAAAAGAATAATAACTTAATCTCAAGAAAAATCTCGTTTTCCAAAGTGTCATGTTAAGCACGAAGCAACGTTGATTAAAAGACAATTGTCTTATAATGATGCAACCTTTTAACTTTCCTGACAACTTGTTAATGAGGTACACTCTTAAGTTTCCAACGCACAAAAATACAATCTCAATAGAGCATTCTGACATTGGATACTTCAGATACATGAGAATTTCACTTGTCAGAAGCCTCACATTTCAGAAGCAAGACGCTACGAATCAAGCATTAGAAACTTATTTCTCTATACTATAAGACATATATTCTGAGATATTCCTTATCATTCTGGACATAGAACCGAGTTCACTTGTTTTGGAATGAAAACAAGTTTATTTTTTAGCAAGGAATTTTGAAATAGATAACAGCCGTAAGAAAAGACTATATCAAAAAGGTTTTAAGAAATAGTTCATTTCTGAACAAAATCTCAAAATTTGATCATAGAATATAAAAATAGATTCTTAGACAATTAAGTAAAAAGCAGTAGGAGTTAGAAAAGTGTTACTCTCAATTATTTGGTAGTCTTTCATTTGACTATGTATCTTGAAGATGTAGGTGCTTCTTCAAAATTAACACGTAATTAGCTTCAGCAGTAGAGAACGTTGTTGATGATTGTCTCTAGCTGGACTGCTAGACCAAATTCTCCTTAGAAACTGACATCACAATAACTTCTTCATTTCTTCAAATCTCAAATGAGATACACATGAGCCTTCATTATCTTCCACTAAGATAAGCTAGAACATCCCCGTAGCTTCTTTGGTCTTCTCATTCTGATGGATGAAACATCTCTCCTGATGTTTGTGTTGCACCCCAAAATTTTCCCAACCTTTTCTTGCCTGATTTATGTTTCATTGCATTTCATTTGCATAGTTACATCATTCACATAGTTCTAATCATTTGCATATCATAATATATCACTCATCCAACAGGGGATCAAGTGTGATTCTTATCAGAAGAAGCCTAGCAAGAGGTGTTATCCAAGTATGAGAAGTCATCCAAGTCATCAAGAGTTGAAGTCTTGAGAAGTTTGAGTGCCTACATGTGGGTTTTGCTCCTATCTTGAGGAATATTGGGAATCATCAGTGGGATGTGAAACAGGGAATGTGAATTTGAGGTGTGTATAGATCTCATGGAATGCCTAGAGGGCCCTAGTGAAGCTGAGACAAGTCATTGATTCAAGTATGAGAGCCACAGTGGAGGTGCAATCAACTAGGGTTTCATCTGGGTCAATCCTAGTTCAATTGAGTAATTGAAGAGCATCAAAGTATACTTTGAGTTCATGGGATTCATGGATTGGTATGTTGATACATGTGTGGTGTTGTGCCAAGATCAAGCAAAGAAGAATCAAGAATGTGGGAAGTTGCTAAATTAGGGTTTCAGTGTAAAATCCCTTATTTAGTGCCTAAATTCAAAGCCACATAAGTCAAAATACAAGTTTCAAATGGATCTTTGGCCAACATGAAACTTGTAGAGCATCTCAATACCTTTAATTTGAGAAGTCCTCAAGGGGATTTATAGAACTCAAGTTATAGTCCTTTCAAGTTACAGGTCATCAGATGACTATAAAATTTATCTGTGGAAGTCACTTGACTTCCAAGCAACTTTTGCCCTTCAAGGAGTTTTCAAATGGACTTTTGGTCAACATGAATGTTGTTCCTTATTCTCTTAGCTTTCCATATAGTACTAGAAGTCCTTGATAGGATTTGTAGAACTCAAGTTATGATCTTTGCAAGCCAAGGGTATTTTGGGTATTGGTGATTATAGGTCATTTGTGATCATAGGTCCATAACTCCAACTTGCAAGCTTCAAATGGAAAATTGTTCAACATGGAACTTGTTCAAAATGATGTTTTGAGTGCAACCAAGTGGTCATGAGAGTTTGGTTTGGCTTGGAACACAAAGTTGCTTGAAATGGCTTAAGGAAGAAATTAAAGTCATTAAAAGGCCAAAAAAATGTGATTTCTTGATTTATGGCCAAACAAAGTCATGTTATATGTCAAATTGATCAGAAATACCATTCTAAGAATGATGGCATTGTCACATTTTTGAATTGGGGTCATTTTCAAGCACTTCCCTTTTGTAACTTAAGGTGGAGGTAACACTTCAATCACACACCATAGGATCAAAAGCAAGGGATCTATCACTCCCATTCATTTCTAAATGGCATGAGATGAGAAATTCAAGTGAAATTGAGAGCTAGAACAGAGAAATTCACTAACTGCACATATGAGAAATTGGAAGAGAATGAGAAATTCAAAATCTCATTATGTTAGTTACAGAACTTTCTAGAGGTTTCCAACAGCTTCTATATATTCATTGCAATGTATTCAGCAAGTTTTTTAGGCAAGGTGTGAAGAGAAACCAGAGGGAGCAACTGAAATTGCAAGGCTTGCATCAAGAATCGTGTTTTGCAATTGGTGAAGATTCGTAGCAAATTGCTTGTTGCAGAAGTTTTAGGAGTTGATATTGAGCAATTCTGGAAGAAATTGGAGGCTGAATCGAAGGAAATCACTATCTGTTCATCTCTCAAATCCAGGTATGCACTTTTCAATTTTCAGCATAATTTGTAGTGAATTGCTTAGGTTTTGATATGAGGATGGATTAGTGATGATGCTAGGTTGGATTTCAGTACAAGAATCGAGTGTTTAGAGACAAAACTAGGTGTGATGCAATTTCTGTTGAAGCATATATCTTGAGATTCTTGAGGTTTTGATCATGGTCAGATAGTTAGTTTTGATATCTGAAGAGTGTGGATGACACTAGGCTTGTTAATTTCAAGATTTGAGACAATTGAAGTTTGGTGCATCTCTGAACATTTGATCGGATTTTAAGATGGAGCAAGAATCATGGAATTTGGAGTGTAGATTTGAGTTCAGGAGAGAAAAACGAGTGAGATTAGGTATCAAGTTGTTAAGTTTGGTGAGCTTATGGGTAACCCTCACCGGAGACGACGGTAGCGCTGCAACTCAGGCCACCGTCCAATTCTCCATCCATTATTCAAACTCGTGTGGGGACGATGAGCCAGGATCGTCAGATCATGTTTGGACTTTGACCAAGGCAATGGATACACGACCAGGATTGAAAGTTGAAATCTGAAGAGAGTTTGAGTTTCGTATGAAACTCTGCGTTTCATTAATTGGTTTTGGGTGGGCTTAGTGAGTTTCTTGCTCTTCACACCCTGCGTTTGGGCCCATTGAGGATTTGAACTGAAATAAATTGCTAAACAACACGCGCGTTTTTCTTTTTTCCTGATTTCTTTTATTTTCTGTTGGGCTTATGATAGTTTGATACGCGCACCCCACCTTTGGGCCCAGCCTGGAGAATAACTGGTTTATATTGCTATTTACCACGCTCTTTTATTAATTTTCTTCATATTTCTTTTATTTTTTATGTTTGCATATAGGTTAGAAATTAATTCACCATAATTAGGAAAATTAGTCTTTTTAGGCTAGATTTTTTTCCCCTGACTCCTTAAAGAGTGTAAAATTTAATAGGGTTAGAATTTCATTAATTCATGCATTTTAATTTTTTATTGCATTTTTTATAGTTTAATTGGTTTTATTTTCATTATGTTTGATACATGATCTTGCTGATTTTAGTATGGATGATTGGTATAGATTTTTGAGTTGATTCTTTTTGGTATAGTTAGCTTAGATATGCATGTACCTCTAGAAATTTTCTCACATTTTTGTGAGAGAATTTTAGGCTGTTTTGAACATTGAACATTAAGTGGTGTAGAATTAGGGTTTTAGGATAGTACCCTTAAGTTTAGGGAATAGTTTTAGGACTTAATGATTGATTAACCCCCTGGTTTTTGTATGGAGAGATTCTTAAGAGGTTTAGGAATCCTTAGAATTTTTTATAGGATTTTATAATCTTTTTTTGTATTTTAATTGGATTTAGTTTTAAGACTAACTTTTAGGTGTTTCTAACACACTAACTTGACTAGTTTAATTCAATAGTTCCCCTTAGATTAGGTTGGTGGTGCTCTTGTGCTTGGATGAAGATGAAGATCAATTGAAGATGCTTTGGAGAGCTTGAAGGAGCTTGAATGTGAAGAATTCCTCATCTTGTGGATGCTTGTCAGGAGCTTAGGGAAACTAGGGTTTTAGGAAGAGCATTAGATTAGTTTTGCTTGTTTCTTCAAACATGGAGTATGTTGTGCATCTCCATTCAATCCAATGACATAAAGTCCTCTTAAAGAAGTCACATATCTCCTTTGGAGGGATGAGTGGCATGCTTTAAGAGTAGAACTTTGAGGATACAGTTCCTTTACAATGTTAGGGTCTTAGTGGCTTCCTTTGGTTGTCATTAAGTTACTTAACATCCCAACCTGATCTGGTTAATTGACTCCCCTTGGAGGTTGCTTGTTGAAGCTGGTTGAGAATGAAGTTTGAGCTTGTTGAAGCTAGGAGTTTGTGCTTGTTGAAGCTTGCTTGTTGAAGCTGGTTGCTTGTTGAAGCTAGGGTTTTGCTGCTTGTTGAAGTTGCTTGCTTGATGAAGTTGTTTACTGGTTGAAGTTTGCTAGGGTTTAAGCTGGTTGCTTGTTGAAGTTTGAAGCTTGTTGAAGCTTGGTGCTTGTTGAAGATTGAAGGTTTAGTGGAGCTTGAGGATAGGAGCATTCATGAAGATGAAGGTTGTTGCTGTCAACTTTTTTGCTGTTTAATCACCTGTTGCTGTCAGAGCTGCTGCTTGTGCTGTCAACTGTAGGAGTTTGGTGCTGCTGCTTGGGCTGCCTCCTCTGCTTTAGGTTTTTGTTTTTCTGTATTGTTTGTT